AGAAATGGCCAATAGGTAATTAATGATAACAGATATTCATTATAAATATTCCAACCGTGTGCAGATTTTTGTCGGCATGCATGCGCTTTAGATAATCATTTTATAGGTGAAAATTGGAAAAATTAGTTGACGGTGGATAATTTAAATAAAGAACAGAGTAAATTACTAATAAACTTGAGTGCAGTGAATTAGGGGACAATCGATAAGCTCTCCTCCTCAATATATATATATATGTTGTTTTATATATATATATATATATATATATATTAACAACTGTAAGAAAAACTTTGCTTATAAAAGAAATAGGTATTAAGGATGTATTTTCATTATTGTTTGAAAATAATATTGGAGAAACATAAGATGATAAAGAAATTAGTGAATAAAATATTTCATGGTTATTTTTCTTGTGTTATTACTGGTATATAATGATAAATCAGAAATCCCTCAGAATCCCCCGGAAAAGCTCAAGTTTCAAAGTACAAAACCACGTATTTACTGTAGTAGAGAGTGACGGAGTGACATGTCAACTCTTGATGTGTAGAGATGTGCAAGCAAACGTTTACCACTTGGTGGAAATGACTGCCGTAGGGGAGAGACTACTCGAGCACTACTCCAACTTTTTCATAACAACAAGAGGATTTTCCCTCAATGCAGGGGGTTAACGCCGGCGAGGGAGGAGATGGAAAATAGTCTAGCTGATTTCTGATGTGATGCGTGATTTAACACATGTAAAGAAAAGCTTCTACATTCTAATGCACAAATATAGATAAAAATAAAGGCTAAAGAAGGATATTTCATCAACGATTGAATTTCATTTAAACAGCTACGGAATGTTTCCCTTTGAGCTTGGCAGAATATCCCTGTAGCCGCAGCTGAGTGATTTTGAATATATCCAAGGTGAGAAGGCATACGTGTAACCCACGCATCTAGCATCCTATGTAAGCCGAGGGAATCGCATGAATAATTTCCCGTAGAGGAAATGTTGTCTGTGTGCCGCCGCTCTGCTAACTCTTCTCCTTCCATAGCCAAAACACCATTTATTCGGTGGGAATTTGTGCAAACAATGGCCCAACTACACTCCTATCCCTCTTCTTCTCTTTTCTCTGCCAAAATATACTGTCTACTGTCTCATTGCTGAAGAATTTTTTTTACTATATTTATATTTACATTATTAGCTTTTTTGCCAATCTCTTTTATCGAATCAACAAGCCATTATTAAATATAGTTGATCGTCAAGGCTGCTTGCTCTTCATCAATGTGCAGTCAAATTGCTGGAAAAAGGCATTGCAACGGTGATAATAATTCAAATTGACGTTGGAAAGCCAACTCCCACAAGAATACCGAGTAGCTTTTTTATCTTGTCCAAATGAATAAGAAAAAAATGGGAATAATAAAAAGAAGACACATTTGTTACAAATGACTTACTTGTACAACTGGATCAACACGGTTGTCCTAGTGGTTAGTATAGTGGTTAGCCGTTCGATCCTTGTGAACTGGCTCGTTGTGAGATAGGTATACGGTCGACCACACTAGCAACAATGCCGTTAGTGAGAGCCTGGATATTGGATGCCATTGGGCTGGTTTCACTGTAAGCCGATTTCATCCATCCGGCAAACAATAGCGCACTGTTACCGTATGAATTATCATTGAGCAACAGTGAATAACTAGGGCCAGCGATTAAACTTCCTGTGGTATAGTCCGTCTTGTCCATCTTGTAATACAATACGTAATGGTAAAGCGCCCCTCATTAAATTAATTGAATCTATCTTTCGAAGCATATTATTGATAGTCATTAAAAAAATTGAAAAATTCGAGAAAAAAAACCAAAAAAATGCCTATTCAAAGTCGTGAATTACTCCACCAGACACTCCTTTTTAAAATTTCTCGCCAATTGATATCAAGGATTACCAATATGTGGCGTGTATGATCCGCAGAATTTGAAAATATGTGAACAAGTTCAAGGTCTGCAAAAATATCTTGAGTTCCATGTAATGATAATATAAAGAAAGAGGAGTATTTCCGTTTAGATTGGTTTTTTTGTTCTGCTAGTGACAGTGTTATAGCAAAAAATTGAGATAATCATGTGATGAAATGGAAACGGAAATGAAAAAACGTCTGATATTATTGTAAGCAAGCTATACATAACCGCATGTGATGTGGACGACACAACTTTGAGAAATCGTGCTTTGAGTTTGTTATAGCTAACAAAAGTCAAATGTATTGGAGAGTAGCATCAATCGCTCCGGAAATAGAAGATCCAATGTAAAGAAGGTTTTACAACTGTAACACGCGAGGTCAAATGCTATCGCTGCTACTACCCTTTCGTGACGACTAGGTAAGTTCTAAATCTGCAAGAAAGATCCACGGCCATGACTTTGTAGGGTTTACATATGGTATGCGTCGTTCCATATATGAAATGAAAGGCAGTGTCTATTGACACGCTCCACGGTAACTTTGACCGTGGATATATACACGCCAGATCATGAACCCTCAACTTCTACTTTTCAAATTAAATCTAGACGAATCAGCATTTCTTTCTACTTTAAATAGTTAATTTAACAATCAACAGTGACTAGATTAGGTAGTTTACGCTTAAATGTGTCTGTTTCAGAAGAGGAACCACAGCTCGATATAATACATCTCGTACGTTAATCTAGAGTCTAGACTGATACTAGTATTCAACAAATTAATATTTTGAGAAAATTATTTACTAGTCTACTGTCTGCATATCACTTATCGATTGATTCGATGTGTATATTTTATTATTCAGATTTAATTTGACAAGTAGAAGTTGAGGGTCCACGATCTCCCATATAACCACGGTCAAAGTTACCGTGGAGCGTGTAAATAGATACTGCCATTCTCAACCAAAATTCAGTTTGATAAATTCGCTACTCGGATTTAAAACTCCTTGGGATTCTATTAATATATCAGCACAGTTAAAAACACGAAAAATAGTTAACGGCTAAATAATTTATAATAAATTATTATATTTGAATCTCTCACAATCAAGCAGCAAAGTCATTACGCAAGAATAATTCAAGGAGGAAACGTGATATTCAAAGGGATGTATATATATATATATATATATATATA